GGTATCAGATTCAACAGCTAAATCTTTGTTGAAAGGTTTTATTTTTAATTGAAAACTGATGCTTATTTATTAAAATAATCTCTATTATCAAGACATTGTTTGTTAAATCAAAATTGATAAATAAATATCTTTCCTTACAATTTTACAAATAAACAAAAATATTTTGCAATAAAAATTGTAATTATACAGATAGCAGGATCATCTCAACCCCGCTCCCCATTTGATCAAATTTCAAAATGCAAATGTACTTGAATGTAGTATTTTAAGGGTGTTTTAGAAGTAGTAGATATCATGTATATTTACTTTATTTAACATATTTCTGTATAAATATATACGATAAAATAATTAAAATAATGGCTTTTGATCAAAGTCTTTTTTCTAGCAATATCTACTTACGAGACTCTTACAACCATCCTCAGTCTTCTTTTTTTTGTTCTGAAATTTGTACTTGAATTGATTATAATTGATTATATATATATATATATATATATATATATATATATATATATATATATATATATATATATATATATATATATATATATATATATATATATATATTGTATAATTAATGAAAAAAATTAAGCGCATCAATAAAAGCTGCCTGAAACCATTTGTGCAGTTGAATGAGTTGCGCAAAGTTTAATTGTATCCTTCACAGTATATTTTATATCCAAGTTATGAACATATTATTGCTTTTCTTAATAACTAGAGCTTCGTAGTTTTGTTTCGGAAAGAAATCCCGTTCCGACTAAGAGTATATGTTTCTAACATGTGATTCCACTGTCAAGGATAAATTGTTTCATTGCTAGCAATTTGTGTCAAGACTAGCACCGCCTATCGCAAGCGTGACACCAGTATGGCGTGCATTACAATCAGCTATTAAATCCGCCATTATGAATAAACATGATGCATCTGTTTAATTTTCTATATAAATTTGTTCTTGGTCATTAAAGGTGTTTGGCAAACTGTGTTGACATTTAATGCTTCTGGAAGAAACTGATCACAAGTTATTCAATTGATGCTAGCTGAGTCGCAGATTGTCACGTAATCATAAATTCCCAGGAATGCTGTACCAAGGGCTTTTACGTTGGTCTTATTCATATTTTACTTTGTTTGCACTTTAACATTACAAAAAAAAATTCCTTACTTCCAACAAATCTTGTATTATTGTGTGTTTTATGCTTCAGATGAAATCTTTAAAATGCGCATTCGTATGAAAGAACAATCCAACCGAACGTAAACATAATCTCGTAAAGTTTCAGCTATGAGAGTTTGGATTAGGTAACATTGCACTACCTGATAAAGACAATTAATGGTCAGTAGATCTTTTAAAAACTCGACACCAGAAATGGCTTTTTCTCAACGTTGCGCTGTTTTTTCACAGGCCTTGAAAACAACTTCCAGTAGGACATTATGAGACAATATTATGCCTTAACTTTCCATGGCTGAATACAATCGAATGGATATACTTTAATCTTTGGTAAATAAAGACGTATCTGCGATCTGACGTTTACACGGACAGATTAAATAATCTCAATACTATTCCAGTAGTAGAATAGTGTGCACTCGAAAACGTGCCGTTAGATAAAATATTCCTAGATTATGTTTTAAAGCATTTATTGCTAAGTAAGTCCACCAATATCGCTGAAATAAAGCTAACTGAATGAAAATTCTAAATCGTAAATAAAAATTAGGACAAATCATATACAGCCCAATAGTAATCACAAAGGACAGTCTTTGCATACTCCCTTGAAGGAAGTCGACGCACACTAAATCTAACGAACAAAAGAATAAAGCAGCCACACCACAACTAAATAAATAATTTTCAGATGAAATGTTTCATCAGTTTTTCAATGATACGTCTTGGAGAGTTGTTGATCAGTGAAAGAAAAACTTTAACCATTACCATCTGACCAGGGGCCCCGAGTGATTGAGTGGTCTAAAGCGCTGACAGTTACGGATCACTGCCATCTCACTGTGTGGGTTCGAGTCTCGGGATCGGCCAATGTGGGTAGGAGAGAAAGTTTGCCCGTAGCTTTTTGTGGGTCGGTGGTTCTTACTTGTTTTTTTTTTGTTGTTGTTTTTTTAAGTTTCTTCCTCTATCATTTACAATGGCCGCCATGTATAGCTTATCTTGAGCTTAAAAATGGCGTTAAACCTTACGGTAACAACAACCATCTGTTTGTAGTAGGCTTTAGAACCTATAAGTTTTATATGTACTAAAACGCGATATGCCACTTCGATCGACACAGATCACGGGACAGATATAATCTATTCCATAAATGGCTGTCTGAATGAATAACGATCATAGACTAACAGGTCAAATTTCGGAGGAAAAATTGTATCAATGGATGTCGAGAATGAGAATCAGATCATCGTTAAACGGGAACTTGGTTTGATTTATTGATGTGCAACCCGTGAATTCCCACTTCTATATGCTACATCCAAACTTTACCCCCAAATTTTTAATCTAATTTCTGTACAACTCAAATGTTTTGAATTTACGTGTTGTTCATTAGAATTAAAATGATACTGGGACAAACATGTCGATCCCTGCGATAGATAATATTTGATGTAGAATAGTTTTGTGTATTAAGTAAAGACCATTTCCCCAACTCTAAGCTATATGAATAAACCATCGTGGTGAACATCATAAAGAAGGTGGAAATTCCTGAAAGACATAAAGACAGGCACTACTGCACATTTATTCCATTTGATTAATGGTAAACAAGTTAACGTCATACCAAGATATGTTTTTGACTAACACTCACTGTCACTTGATTGATATATTTAGTCCAAAATAACACGTACAAAAATAATGCAATGACTGAATTGGATATTTTATATATAGTGGAAACATACATAAACATAGTTTGCCATGCTTCGTTCAAGCCAGGAATGGAATATAACATATTCAGTTTTACTTTAGAGACACACGCCAAGTACCAACGTCTATATGTTCTATCACTGCTTGTACAAACTGCATAATGTTAAAGATAATCTAGTATCGTCCATGTGTTAAAAGAAGTCTGATACGCCAATCAAATGCAGGTCATTTTACAGATTTCCACCAGTTTTTTACTCTTCATTTTTGTGTACAACAGATCTCAGTAAAATGATAATAACCTTAAAACAACAGATCTCAGTAAAATGATAATAACCTTAAAACAACAGATCTCAGTAAAATGATAATAACCTTAAAACAACAGATCTCAGTAAAATGATAATAGCCTTAAAACAACAGATCTCAGTAAAATGATAATAGCTTTAAAACAACAGATCTCACTAAAATGATAATAACCTTAAAACAACAGATCTCAGTAAAATGATAATAACCTTAAAACAACAGATCTCAGTAAAATGATAATAACCTTAAAACAACAGATCTCAGTAAAATGATAATAACCTTAAAACAACAGATCTCAGTAAAATGATAATAACCTTAAAATAACAGATCTCAGTAAAATGATAATAGCTTTAAAACAACAGATCTCACTAAAATGATAATAACCTTAAAACAACAGATCTCAGTAAAATGATAATAACCTTAAAACAACATATCTCAGTAAAATGATAATAACCTTAAAACAACAGATCTCAGTAAAATGATAATAACCTTAAAACAGCAGATCTCAGTAAAATGATAATTACCTTAAAACAACAGATCTCAGTAAAATGATAATAACCTTAAAACAACAGATCTCAGTAAAATGATAATAGCCTTAAAACAACAGATCTCAATAAAATGATAGCAACCTTAAAACAACAGATCTCAGTAAAATGATAATAACTTTAAAACAACAGATCTCAATAAAATGATAGTAACCTTAAAACAACAGATCTCAGTAAAATGATAATAACCTTAAAACAACAGATCTCAGTAAAATGATAACAACCTTAAAACAACAGATCTCAGTAAAATGATAATAACCTTAAAACAACAGATCTCAGTAAAATGATAACAACCTTAAAACGACAGATTTCAGTCAAATGATAATAACCTTAAAACGACAGATCTCAGTAAAATGATAGCAACCTTAAAACAACAGATCTCAGTAAAATGATAATAACCTAAAAACAACAGATCTCAGTAAAATGATAATAACCTTAAAACAACAGATCTCAGTAAAATGATAGCAACCTTAAAACAACAGATCTCAGTAAAATGATAATAACCTTAAAACAACAGATCTCAGTAAAATGATAATAACCTTAAAACAACAGATCTCAGTAAAATGATAACAACCTTAAAACGACAGATTTCAGTCAAATGATAATAACCTTAAAACAACAGATCTCAGTAAAATGATAGCAACCTTAAAACAGCATATCTCAGTAAAATGATAATAACCTTAAAACAACAGATCTCAGTAAAATGATAATAACCTTAAAACAACAGATCTCAGTAAAATGATAATAACCTAAAAACAACAGATCTAAATCAAATGATAACGACCTTAACACGACAAATCTCAATCAAATGATAACAACCTTAAAAGCTATATTGTCTAAAGAAGCTACTTCGTAAATCATCTGTTCAGTAAGAAGAGAAACGGTTTTTGTAGCTTTTAACATGAAACATACATACAATTCAGAAATGAATAAATATTAAAATTTACAAATATATCAACCCTTCAGTTCCAGGGAAAATATTTTACAAACTTAGTCCACAAGAAATGTACGTTCTTGCCAATCAAGAGAGAGAGAGAGAGAGAGAGAGAGAGAGAGAGAGAGAGAGAGAGAGAGAGAGAGAGAGAGAGAGAGAGAGAGAGAGAGAGAGATTTAAAGTAGCTTTAATAATGTTCAGTCATATTGCTAGTATGTTTGCACTATAGCAGTTTATAGTGATGTCTAGCATTGGGGAATCATGCCGCAGACATAGGGCATGATGTCCCAACCAGTCATATTATCCTGACACCAGGCCGACCAGTCCTAACACTAACCTCTTAATGCGGAGCGCCAAACGAGGCAGCTATTAGTACCATTTTTAAAGTCTTTTGTATGACTCGGCTGAGGTTTGAATCCACGACCTCCCGCATTTGAGGAGGACGCTCTAACCACTAGGCCACCGGAGAGAGAGAGAGAGAGAGAGAGAGAGAGAGAGAGAGAGAGAGAGAGAGAGAGAGAGAGAGAGAGAGAGAGAGAATTGTCTACGATTATATAAACTATGCTTACCACGAAGGACAAATTTGTTGTCGTCAGACGTATTTAATTCCTCCACAATTCAATGTACTGATAACTTACTTACTTGATATCCAGTATGAGGCCAGGCGAAGCAAATATAAAATCGATGTTATTGTTTGTTATAAGATTTAACGCCAATTTTCAGCATAAGGTATGTTATAAAAGGCGGCCAGTATAAATGATGGAGTAAGAACACAGGAAAACCCCGGAAAGAACTACCCACCCACGAAAAACCACTGGTAAGCTTTCTCACGTACCCACCTTGGCCTAGTCCGAGACTAGAACCCACGCAGACAGAGGTGAGATGGCAGTGATCCGTAACGGTGAGCACTTTAGACCACTAAGCCACTCTTGGTCCCGAAAATAAATACAACCATGATGTGGATAAATAATATCAATAAGATAGAGATAAAAGGTTAACATCACCATGATAACTATTAATGATGTGAATATTTTATTTATTTATTTATTTTATTTATTTATATGACGAAAACTCTATAATTAATTAGAAGAATAGTGATGAATACTTGTCTTTTGTTTTTGTTTTGTGAGATACGGTCGGTGTACTGCGCATGCCATTTGCACTTTGCAATATACCTTATAAACTATATATAAAAGACGTGTAACCAGTCTATTCTCTTAAAATAAGTAACAGAAAAGAGTGAAAGGCCACAAGCTTCGTAAAATACAACAAATAATTTATTTCCCTTTAACACAAAGTGAAAATCTGATAAACGAACTTACGGTATATCCCAAAATAATCGAAGAATTACAAACACAAGTGCTAATAATTTAATGTCTGAAATAAAATTCAGTAGAAGTCCAGAATAAATCCATAACCTGAAGGCGATGATGTGTCTGTGATATCTGGTACAGTGTTGATGTCAACGGTCTTTTGTTCGATCACAGTAATATAATTCCAGGTTTGAATTCATTATAAATTTAGTGAGTGCCTCTGTCCGTGAATTTTATCAGGGCACTTTTGCATTTGGATCTTGTGTAAATCTTGAATACTTGGTGTAAAAATAGTACACGCAAAATAAGTTTGTATATGGAGAAACTTCGAAAAAAAATCAGTTTTGGTCCAAAAGAGTCAAATTGTTATGATCCAGAATTGGCCAACGCCAAACTAAAACTGGTTTTCTCTTGTCCAAGATTAATTATCATCATTGTGTTGATCATGTTTTAGTCAATCATGGCATGTACGTTCTAAAACAAAGACAGTTTGGTAAAGAAATGGAATTCCAGAGTAACTCATTTACCTGGAGGTCTATTATACGAGAAATTAAGATCTTGTTTTCAATTCTACTTAGACAACATTAATGTACTTAAAAACCAGAGAGTATCGTCACTTCGACTTAAAATACCAAACAAGACAATACCTCCGGAAAACAGAAACTGTAAACTTTTATATAGTAATATTTTGGAAGACATTTTTCATTTTGTTTCTCCTTTGTTTAGAGATGCATTTACAGAAAGAATATATACCAATTACAAAATTATATGCACAAAACTAATGTTCTATCTTGCAAGAGGGCCTTTCCTTGCCGCAATGTGTGTTTCATTTACACACTTGAATTGCCCGTTGTAACAAATCCAAACAATTGTCGTATACATCTCATATACTAACTGTATTTATGTTATATATAAATATGGTAATAATTTGTTGGGGGTGCCATTTTTATAATGCTTTACATGAAATTTTGAATTGTTTTGTGTGTATAATCAAGGACCAGTAAATTTACTGCTAAAAAGCGTTTTCATTTTCACCCACTATGTCTCGATGAACATGAACTTTGAGACATCTTGATATTAACAAATCCTAAAAATATTTTGTTTTTTACCTATGTGGTATTGTCTTATGTGTATTTCTGCATTTTTGTAAGATATACGTTCCGACAAAAAATAAGAACCAATATTCTTATGCAGGATGTTGCATTAAGTGTACATACTCTATCTACAGACAATATCTGCCCTTTATGCTTTTAGTTTATCGTGAGAGATTCCTTGCGTCGAAATCGTTCACATAAGAACTTTTCTAGAAGAGACCAAAACTTAAAATTGCTAATTTAGATCATTCCACCAGCCTAATTAGTCAGAACGTGTAATAAATAAAATGTAGCCAACAGGACATTTGGAAGCGGCATTGGAGGACACGATAATGGGACTAGAAGGGACCATAGCTTCATATGATCAAGTGGGGAGAATATAATTCCCAAAATTACAAAATCATCTAGTCAGATATTAATTTCTGAAAATTATTGTATTCTACGCCATGCAAAAACGATCCAGATTGTACTCTTGCCTTCTTGAAAATGATTCCACCGAGTCAAGGTCACTGGCTTTGGTTTGGTTGAGCATTTTACTTTACCAATAGGTTATTTACTAGCAATGTAATTTGGAATAAAGTACCTTTCCCAGGGACACTTTAAATGGTCCAGTTTGGACCTTTTGGTCTTGAGTACGGCACGCTCACAACTAATTACTGGCAATAGTAATGAAATGAAAGAATGGGAACCAGTGTCCTGTAGAAATGGCTGAGAATTAAAAAGAGTATATATGGGTTTCGCTGGTCAGGGTTGCTTGATAACGAAAATAAGATTTTAGTATAAATAATAATCTTTTGAGAATTGTAAGTGAAATAAAACCCAGACACATTGTTTTACTGATAGAATTATAGTCTCTTTACGGACTTGAGTTTCAAAGACTTATTACTGAAATCTGCACCTTGTGCAGTAATGAAAGCACGTGTTTCAAACACATGTAAATCCATAAAATGCCGCATGTCACGTGGTTTTCTCTGCATATATCTGACACAAAAAAGGGCTTGGATTATTCATGGGAAAAATGTCTCCAAAAAAATCCTCTTCCATTTGCCCTGTGTCGATGAACAATTTGGTGAATATTGTATTGTTGTTACCTTTCTCGATTATAATTTTGAAATACGATGAAACTGTAGCATCATTCTGTCAGCCACCAGCATTGTTATTTGATATTTCCTAGCATCAGCTGAGGGGACATCTTACCATACTGCCTTTGTGAGAAACCAATATGTACTACAGGATGGATGATGATAGGAGGACAATTTGGAAATGTTCTTTTAATTTTTCCATTTCTTCCTTGCAAAATTTTCGCAAGACATCCATTTTCCTGGAATGTTTTAATTTATTTTGGCAGAATAGTGAAAACAAACTTATATTAACGTTTCCACATGAATCAACGTATGCTGCCTTACATCAAGAAAATTCGGTTTTCTATTACATGTTTTGGGAACTAGATTTGTTATGTTTAAGAGCCTTTCAAGTAGAGAGAATGCTGTTCCAGAGCTGAAGAAAGCCCAACTCTCACTACGTCTTTATTCCATCGACGTTTGAAAACCGAAGTCCAGATTTGTTCACGTGTTTTGGTTCATCGATACACACTTCAAAACATCAGTTGTTCTTTACAAATGAGCTTCTGATCGTTTGTTTCGCATACTGTAGATTTAAACATCGCTTTCGTGTGGAAAATATTTTTTGAAAACTGTTTGATACAAAAGCAAACGCTTAATTGCAAGGTACACGAAACAGTAACTTGATTTTCACATGTATTATAGATTCTTCTCTCGCTATTGGATAAACCATTTTGTAATATGACAAATTTATCACGTGGTGGGAAATATCTTAAATAATCAGTACAATCATCGGAGTAGAGATGGTCTTCCCTAACACCTTTTTTCTTATTTTGTGTAGGGTGGGTAGGAGAAAGCATGTAATTATCACTTGTGCAACAAATTACGTTAATTTCATCAACAATTACTTTATCGAATAAATTCATCAAAAGAACACATAATTTAATTTTATTATTTCTGTGTCAGGAATTCATGTTGTATAAGTTAAACTTTTTAATCTTTTAAGACCATGAATGTTAACAGCAGGATAACAGTCAAGCATATGAAGCGCCCTCTGTCTCTACTGAATATTGGTTATCAAGAATGTATATGCTGGCACACCACGATGAATTTCTAAAGCTGTAGATACTTGTGTTATAAAAAGAACCAAGTTGTTGTTTTTTTTTTTACAGAATACATCTTGGCTGCCCGGGCGAATGGAATATTACCACGGACAGCTTCATTGTGTTTACAACAATTCCGATTTGACATAGCCAAGTACGGAATTGCAAGCAGAAAAATTTCAGTGAAGTGTTTGACCCAGTTCTAACTGAAACGTCATCATTTAGCAACGTACTAAACATTACAGAAAATGACATAAAAGTATTGCATCACACTTTACAGAGAATGAGTTATGTCTATGATGGCGCATCTGGAAACCATTGTTTCACGATGAAAAGTACTTCTCCATGATAGCAAACAAAGAGGACATATTTCTTCATTCTTGGCATTTATTAGTCTCTTTCAGACTTCCGAACTTTGCTGGAATTGGGGGAGGGGCTAATACATGTTTATTTCCGTTTCCGGTATAAAACTATTTTTATTGTAGTTCTCTAAAGTCTTATAATTTTCTCCTTTAGATCTTACCTAATAAGTACTGAATCTGGTCAAAGGCTTTTTAGCTGTATGATTCTATAAGATATGACATGTTGCTCAAGTACAGGCAAACGTTCCTTGAATACTATAATCTGAACATCATTTAAACCTGAACTTAACCGTTGTCAAAATACGATCTATAATGACTATTCAGTTTTGTTGATGGTATTAATTCTTTGTTTGACCTTTTGTATTTTATTTCCCCCCCCCAAAAAAAAAATGCGTCGATAAATATGCTTACGACTCATCTTAAGAGACTATTATCTCGCTTTTTGATATAAAGAAAATGAATAGGTCTCGGTCAATTTACAACTTATTTTCAAGGTGAAGACATTTGTTTGACTTTTAAGCAAACTAAAAACGTTC